TATATACTTGCTATAAAAAGCCTCCGTGGTCTTTGCTCAATGCTTCTCAGCGTGGCAGATGACCTCGCCATTATGTTTCCAAGTGACGGCTGTAATGTTGCATAGTATGACTTAATTTCAGATTTAAGCTAAGATATAGCATAGAAAACAAGAGGTCCACCTAAAAGTAATTTTAACTTCATTATATCAGGTTTTGAGGCTATATGACATGAATATTGATTTTGCAGATACTGGAAGAAGCAGTTAACTATAGCTAAGGATGCTCGCCGTGTAGATATTCTCTGTTATAGGATATTTCTGAGTTACAGGCTCTTGGAAGGGACTTCCATATTTAATGCACTCCATCAAATTGTCAAAGAAGCTAAGGAAAAATTGGAACCAGAGGTAGGTCCTCTGAATGATTCTGCAAAAATGGCAAGGGGAATTGTCAGCAGACTCTCAGTAGCCGGGGATGTGCAGGCTCTCTGTTCGCTTGCTATTGAGAAAGCTGATGGATTGCTGGCCTCAAAGTGCAGCACAAGCCTAGATAACATTGGTACTTCTTTTCTGAGATTTTGCCATTCATTCTCTTGAAATATGAAATTTCGTGTTCGTACAAATAAACACTGTTTTGTACCTTTACAGAAAGTTCCCTTCCCGCAGCTTGCAAGTTTGTCTTCGAGGAAATTGCATCTTCTTCAGTCTTAGTTAAATTGATAGAAATATCTACTGCACCGTTTGATGATATTGAAGGGTTTAAGCTATGGTATTGTAAGACTAGAGAAGAGAATTACACCAAAGAGCCTGTTAAAGTCTTTCCAAGATCTCAAAGGACGATTTGGATATCAAATCTGCAGCCCTGCACGGAGTATTCATTCCGAATAGTATCCTTCGCCGAGGCTGGTGAATTGGGACATTCTGTGGCAAAATGTTTTACGAAGAGCATAGAGATAATTCACAAGAACTCGAACCCTCTTGCTGCAAATCTACAGAAGGAGAATTCAGGAGGAGGAATATCTGGTGCCAAGCGAGACTGTAAGACTGTAACAGACATTGAAACTGACTCTGCATTTAAGGTTCAAGACCTTGGGAAGAACTTGAGGCTAGCATGGGCCCAAGAACAAGGCGTTCTTCAGGGGTTCCGTGGTGCAGATGTTAAAATATGTTCTGGGGATCGTAATTTTATTAATCCAGAAACTGTAATTGAAGACAGGTTGCAATCCATTCCAAGGGAGATTGACTTGAATGTTTCGTCAGTGCCTGATCTGAATGAAGAGTTTACTCCTCCAGTTGAGTCATCTAGAGACAACTGGAACCACACGAAAACTGATGATGGACCGGCTGTTGACTCCCGGGTGGAAGCTTGCCCGAAGATGGCACATAACACCAATGTGGAGATGCAAGATTCTGTTAGCAATCTGACCAATGGATCACCATCCCAAGCCGGGAATGTATCGGGAAGCTTGGATGAAAACTTTGAATACTGTGTTAAAATTGTTCGTTGGCTGGAATGTGAGGGCCATGTTACGGAGGAATTCAGAAAGAAGTTTCTGACGTGGTTCAGCTTGAGATCATCTAAACAGGAACGTCGAGTAGTCCAAACTTTTATAAAGACTTTAATGGAAGATCCAAGTAGCTTGGCGGAACAGTTGGTTGATTCTTTTTCAGAGATCATAGCTGTGTCTGGCCAGAGGTCTAGAGAACTTTGGCATTAATTTATGCGGATTTTGGAAAGACAGTACTGCTAGTTAACTCCAAGACTTATCATCCAAATGTCAATAGATATTGCTGATCATCACATCAATTCTTCGTACAGGTATTTTCTAAGTCTCTTCTGAAATGATTCATTACTAAAGTGGACAACTGCAGATGAAGTATTTTTCGTTGGCAGAAATTTCTCAATTGCTCAGAAAAACTGAATTTTAGATTCTATTTGGAATTGGTAGTAGCTTGACTTGGTTTTTAGGCATTCGTTTGTCCAATTCATGGACGTGGCTTAGCTTTTCGTAGCTGTTAAATCAGTCCTGAACTATTACGTTATTTCCCTATTGGGATCTCCCTTTTATGCAAATTCAACATTAATGCAATTTGGTTCTGAATCATTGTTCATTTTTATGTTGCAGTCATATGATATTGACAGTGATCTGTTGTATTCTTGAATTAGTGATTGCAAAATTTCCTTTCTCAATCTTCGATTAGTACATTGGATTATATAAGTCTGCGTAAGATTGAAGTATACAGGTGTAGTGTGTGGCCCCCAATTCGGTTGGAAGTTGGAAAATTATCCCGGCATGACCAAAGGAATGGTCGGGACCCTTTAGAAAATAAGAACCTCTAAACCGATGTGAAAAACTCCTAATTATGCTTTTGCGGCGGCTTGCCCCGTTTGCTGCCCCATTTATTTATTTATTTTTTTTCTCTTCACGCGGCTGGGCTTCCCCTCCCCACCACGGGATGGGGTGGGGATTTTTGCCATCTCTGAACATGGCAAGATAGTATAATAAATAAAATTCTAACTTATTATTGTTATTTTTTTAACTATTGAATAATGTTGGGTTTACTAAAAAAGTTTTTTTTGCACAAAGGAAAAGAAAGTAAGCCTTTTTTTCCCAGTCACATCTCATGGTCGTTATGGCTAAAATCATGTTTATGGTGCAATTCCTCTGAATATCATGCCAGCACATATACCCTAATAAGTTGGAAATTAATTGATAAGCTACAACATTAATGTATGTCACAATTGCTTGCATCCTGATCCAACGGCCACTCCTGCATGCAAAAATATAATAGTAAGGTAGGAATTACTTTTGAAATAAGTAATTTTTTACATCAATGTTCGGAAAATAAAGTAACTTAGTACCAGAAATAATTTGGCGAACACTGTTGAAAAGAATAGTGATAGATGAGAGGACAGCGAGGTTGTTTACTTCATCGAGAACAGGCTCGCTAGAAGAGAGAATGCTCCCAATTGGATTTCTAGCAGACAAAATGTGGTGGTGAGGTCAAGTGATGAAGCAAATTTCAAAGCAACGGTTCAAGAAATGTGCGAGTTATTGGGATAAAAGATCTTGTTAAAGAAACTGCAAGTTCCTAAAGAGGATACTGTGAAGCTCTACTATGATAATAAAGTTGCAATTAGCATTACTCAAATCCTATTAATCGTGATAAGACCAAACACGTTGGAAAGAATAGTGATAGACGCGAGGACAGCGAGGTGGTTTACTACATCAAGATCTGGCTTGCTGGAAGAGAGAATGCTCCCAATTGGATTTCTAGCAGACAAAATGTGGTGGTGAGGTCAAGTGATGAAGCAAATTTCAAAGCAACGGTTCAAGAAATGTGCGAGTTACTGGGATAAAAGATCTTGTTAAAGAAACTGCAAGTTCCTAAAGAGGATACTGTGAAGCTCTACTATGATAATAAAGTTGCAATTAACATTACTCAAATCCTCTTAATCGTGATAAGACCAAACACGTTGGAAAGAATAGTGATAGACGTGAGGACAGCGAGGTGGTTTACTACATCAAGATCTTGCTTGCTGGAAGAGAGAATGCTCCCAATTGGATTTCTAGTAGACAAAATGTGGTTGTGAGATCAAGTGATGAAGCAAATTTCAAAGCAACGGTTCAAGAAATGTGCGAGTTATTGGGATAAAAAATCTTGTTAAAGAAACTGTAAGTTTCTAAGGAGGATGCTATGAAGCTCTACTATGATAATAAAGTTGCAGTT